ACCAGCTGGCCTGCGGCGACGGCACCTGCATCGCCAAGGCCTTCTTCTGCAACGGCAACAATGACTGTGCCGACGGTTCCGATGAAAATGCGTGCAGTAAGTATTGTCTCTGGGGATGTTTATATGATCAAGCTGATCAAGAACGATTAAAATATCTTTAGAATAATAAATAGGTAATGAAAATCGAATCCCACATTTTTCTTGATTCACGACGCCCGGCGCCTCTCCTTCCCCAGACGTGCGCGAGGACCCGAACCGCGCGCCGAAGTGCGACAAGGAGCAGTGCATCCTCCCCGACTGCTTCTGCTCCGCCGACGGCACGCAGATCCCCGGCAACCTGGGCCTCAACCAGACGCCCCAGATGATCACCATCACCTTCTCCGGCGCCATTAATGAGGGCAACATCGACCTGTATCAAGACATCTTCCATGAGAACAACAAGAACGCCAACGGCTGCCAGATCAAGGGCACCTTCTTCGTGTCACACAGGTACACCAACTACTCGGCCGTCCAGGAGCTCCACCGCAAGGGCCACGAGATCGCCGTCTTCTCCATCAGCAACCGCGCCGAGGCCTCCTACTGGACCGACGGCACTTACGACGACTGGCTCACCGAGATGGCCGGCGCGCGCCTCATCATCGAGAGGTTCGCCAACATCACGGACAACTCCATCATCGGCGTCCGCGCCCCCTACCTGCGCGTCGGCGGCAACACGCAGTTCGAGATGATGACAGATCAACTCTTCATCTACGATGCCTCCATCACCGCCCCTCTGGACCGCGTCCCCCTTTGGCCCTACACCCTCTACTTCCGCATGCCCCACAAGTGCCACGGCAATGCCCAGAACTGCCCCTCCAGATCCCACCCCGTCTGGGAGATGGTCGTCAACGAGCTGGATCGTCGCGAAGACCTCAAGCACGACGAGAAGCTCTCCGGCTGCCACTTCGTCGACTCGTGCACCAACATCCGGGACGCAGAACAGTTTGAGAAGCTGCTCCACAACAACTTCAACAGGCACTACAACACGAACCGCGCCCCGCTCGGCCTCCACTTCACCGCCGCCTGGTTCAAGCGGAACAAGGAATTCAAGAACGTCCTCCTGAAGTTCATCAACGAAAAGCGAGCGCAGAACGACGTCTACTTCGTCACGCTCCTCCAGGTGATCCAGTGGATGCAGAACCCCACGGAGGTCACCGCCATCCGGGACTTCGCGGATTGGAAGGAGAAGTGCGACGTGAAGGGGCAGCCGTACTGCTCGCTGCCCAACTCGTGCCCTCTGCGGACCCACGAGCTGCGCAACGAGGAGCTCAACCTCTACACGTGCATGGAGTGCCCACGCAACTACCCCTGGCTCCTGGACCCCACTGGCGACGGCCTTGACCTCGTGTGAGGAGGAGGAGCAGTTGGAGTCCTTCCGCTGGCAAGGATACCATGTAGCAATATTCCCAAATGAGACCCGAGGTCTGACCGTACAGTATAGAATCTAGTCTTTATATTTTCGGGCCTGGTGCCTGATTTATTCTTTGTTTGTATACGTCCTCTTAACTCCTTCAAGTAACACTGGACCATGTTTTTTTTCCCAAAGAAAAATGAAAAAGAGATCCTCATACCTGCTCAAGTAACGAAAGCCTTCAGTGGCTGGGGTTGTGTTTTGTTATTTATTCAACCTATACCCCTCCCCCCTACCCCTCCCGCACCGCCACAGTATTGCCAATGATAGCACATGTTACAAAGGGCATCATGCAGTCCCATCAAACAAAATCATCCATTCCGTTCGAATTCCCTTCCTCCTTATCATGACAACGCCTTCGTCTAATTCGTCTTTCGCGTGTTCGAAAAATATGAACGTTCCACGAAGAACTTTCCTCATTACCTAAGACAGTATTCTCCCCAATGCACCCTCCTACCTCGCACACAAACCAACTATTCCAAAGGCAAAGATGTTTTAAACCGATCCCATTCTACCTCGTCCCACTGGCTGATCTGTTTTTTTTTCTTTTTTTTTTTTTCTTTTTTGTAATACATTTATCAGATCTGTCCAAGACTCCCACCCCTTCCTAACACCCCCTCCCCGACCCCCAATATTACCCTCAAAGTAATGAATCAAAGTTACCCATTAACAAACATATCTAAAACTAAGATACAAACGCGTTTTATGACAATAAATCTTCAGTGAGGTTGATGAGTATGAAGTATGGTTGCAAGAACTTCATTCAATTTTCTTCCTTTTGTTTTCTTCACTAACAACGATATGACTTTTGTTTGAGTGTTAAAGGCCAGGATTTTTTTTCTTCTTTTTTTTAGATACTGAATGACTGTTGCTGGCCTTCCTGAGTATGCTTAATGTTACCTCTTTCCTTTCTTGTTTAAACTTAAGGTCCTATGCTGTAAATTGCCTCTGTTTGATCTGTTATTTTGTCTGAATATGTATGTTGTGATTTTTTTATACCAATTGACGACAACTTTCCAATGTGTATGTTGCGTGTCTTCAATAAATATA